AGGACAAACTGACCAGAACCGTTTTCAGTAAACCAGGAAGTAAAATCTGGATTTGATCTAAAGGTTTTAGTATCAATTTATTTATTTAGCTTCATTTAGCCATTAATAAATATGTAACTAATGTTGAAAACTTATTATTTAATGTTTATTAATGCTTAATAACTCATGAATTAACTAATCCATGTGCATGTGAATGTTAGCGAATGTTCAAATAAATGTACTTTCACTACATGTTAGCCATGTAGATATTTAATTTGTGCTGATTCTGCACTGCATCCATAAATAAGGCAGATGCTAATAGTTTGTTCATCTTTGTCTGAAATCTTTAAGACAATCAAACCAGATGAAGCCATGAGACAAAAAATATTCAAGATTTGACATTTTGAAACGTCAACAAAACAAATATCTCAGTTAGTTCCAGTAATTTGACTTCAAACTGGATCAAACCTGTAGAGTCAACGGTACGAAAACGCAGCAGAATATCTGCATGAAACCATGAATATTTTATTTTCACTAAATGAACATAAACGACAAATATGAGTGAATGTGGTGGAAAATAAACTGAGAGGCTTTTATTCTCCTGTATGATGATGATAAATAATTAGATGAATTAAACTGAGTTTCCCTAAAGAACTGAAACTTTTAGTTACCAGACAGAGAGCAGAGATTTCCTCTCAAACAAAACTTTATTCTCTCCTGAAGGACAAGACGCAGCAAACGTTCAGTTCAGAACCAGCAACAGATCCAAACCAATTATCAGATCAAAGATGGCCGCCGGTCTGGCCAATCAGCTCTCTGCAGCTCTAATGTCCTGAAGTTTCCCCGTCCAGAAACTGCAAAATATGAAATAAACTTTATTCTCCTTTAGCCTCCAGAACCTGCTGGTGGTTTCAGGAAAAACTGCTGATCAGTTTCTCTTGTTCCTGTTTGTCCTTCCAGACTTTCCAAAGCAACATGTCTGCAGGACGGAGGAGGTTCTGGACCAGAGGGAACCAGAACCAGAACCGCCACATCAGGAGATCGGGCCTGAAGAACCGCAGCTGCCACCGGACTGCGACGCCTTCATGAAACCTCTGTCAGATGAAGAATGTGAGCTGGAACCAGACGCTGATCAGAACCTCCCTGCAGCTCAGGACGGTTTGAACTCAGATCCTCATCGGATCAACGAGCATCTGGATCAAAACCTTCAAAGAACAAAAGACAAACAAAAACGTCTTCCAACCAAGTCCAACAAACCTCAAAGGAAAGCCAGAAGGAAAGGAAACGTCATTTGTTGTCATAAATGTGGGAAAAGGTATGTTTATATAAAATCTCTAGTGACTCACATGAGCACCCACTTCATGAAGCTGGACTCATGTAAAACCTGCGGGAAAAACTTCAGTTCTGCAAAGGCCCTGAGAATCCACATGGCAGAGCACAGCCTTCACAGAGCATCCATGTGAGACAAACGGGGAGCGATTCTCAGGGAATCTGCTCCACTGACGCACATCGGAAACCACAGCGACGAGACAACTGGGAAACGATGCTCTACTGGGAAACGATGCTCTACTGGGAAACGATGCTCTACTGGGAAACGATGCTCTACTGGGAAACGATGCTCTACTGGGAAACGATGCTCTACTGGGAAACGATGCTGGTCCACAGGAGAAGGCACAGGGATGAGAAGTCCTACTGATGTGCAGCCTGTGAGAAAAAGTTCATCTCATGCTCTGGTTGCAGACACATGAGAAACTCCACTCATGTTTTTCCTCAGCCTTTCAGCTGAACCGTCACATGAAATCTGAGTCCTGTGGGGAAGTTAAAGCAGCAGAACGAGGGACTCGTCTGATCCTCATATCAGAGCTAAATCAGCCGTTTGCTCATGTTAGTCTGAACTGTGTTGTTAAACCAAAGGCAGCCAGAAAGTTCCTGAAACTGAGAATGAATGAAGCTGCATGTATGTGACACGTGGCATAAAATATAAACTGTAGAGTAGAAACATTTCTTGATAATTGTTTGAATAAAAGGTTCTCAGTAAACGTGGTTGATGTGAAGAAAGTTCCTGAATATTTATTTGGTTCATCCTCAGATTGTTCTGCTGGATCAGCCGGTAAACAATATTCTCAGTTTCTCTTTATTCCAACATCACAAAGGTCAAAGGTCTTTAGAGTTTTGGTTTCATGGTTTTTCTGCTTTAGTTTTGGGCGACCTGGTTCTTCTGACCTGTGATGAACTTGACTCCTCTGTTCTTTATTCTCTAGTTTTAGATTATTTAGATTTTGTTATCTTTTATTATTTGACTGCTGCTTCGTAGTTTCTGTCAGCAGCTCTTTGTTTGGCACATATTTTAATAAATGTTAAGTCATGAAGAAACGTTTCCATATCAATGATTTTTCTGTTCTTAAACTTTTAACTGGATTGGACTTTATGAGTTATTTAAAAAAATAATTTGATCTTGTTTGGGATAAAATACTATTGACAATATGAAAATGTCTTTGTGTAAATTCAGTTGTGATTAAATTGATCTGTAAATGTGATCAATCAGTTCAGATGTTTCTTGAATCAGTTATTAATATTTTTTGAAACTCAGTCCCTGATTTTCTGTCTTTGTTTCACAGCTTGATAAATATCAGGAGATGTTTATAAATACAGATTTATTTAAACCTTTGGTCAGGTTCTGGTCCGGTTCTGGTCCGGTTCTGGTCCGGTCCTCCTGATGGACCCGGTGGAACCGAGTCCAGTTTGGATATTTTCCATTTGAAGACCAGCCTGAGTCTCTACAGAAAGTTCTTTCCTCATGAGTCCATCTGGTTTATGAAGTGCAGCCCCACAGCATGATGCTGCCACCACTTTACTTCACAGTGAGGACGGTACAAGCGTCTTCGTTTTCACTCCAAATGTATCGATGGTCATCAGGTCCAAACAGACCAACTATGGTTTGATCTGACATGAATCTGAAGGTCAGTGTTCATCTCTTCCTGGCTGAGCCGCCTTCAGTCGGACAGTTTGTTGGTGGATGAAGTCGCTGCTTCACAGCTTCATCCAGAAACTCCAACAGCTCTTTGACTCTCTGCACATTTGCAACTAAAGACCAAAATCCTGTTTCGTTTGACTTTCCCGTCGTGTTTTTATCATCATATTTCAGGAAGTTTAGCTTCAGATCTGTGAAAAAGTGTCGAAGTTAAAGCTGCTGGTACCAGCAACTCCTCCAAACAGAACCAGAACCTCTGCAGGGTTAAGGAGGAAAATATTAGTCAATCATTATTTATGAATAAATATGAACTGGCCATAATGTATACATTATTAATGCTTCCAATTCAAAACATATTAAAATGAATATTTTACACACATTGGGTCATTTTGGTTTGACTCAAAGGTTTCCAATAAATTCACAGCATAAGAAGAAAATATTGTGTCCAGATTTATCACTAAAATAAAGGATTAAAGGTCAATCTGCTTCATTTCACCAGAAATGACAAAAGGTGTATGATATGATATTTGATGACCAATTATTGATGACCTCTGATTGATCTTTAGTCGCATTGATTATTGTAACAGCGTCTTCACAGGCCTGACCAACAAATCAATCCTCCAGCTGCAGCTGATCCAGAAGCTGCTGATCCAGAAGCTGCTGATCCAGAAGCTGCTGATCCAGAAGCTGCTGATCCAGAAGCTGCTGATCCAGAAGCTGCTGATCCAGAAGCTGCTGATCCAGAAGCTGCTGATCCAGAAGCTGCTGCTCCTGTTCTCACTAGAACCAGGAAGATAGAGACATAACAGCAGTTTTAAAGTCCCTCCACTGGCTCCCTGTAGCTCAAAGAATAGACTTTAAAATACTGTTGTTAGTTTATAAATCACTGAACGGTTTAGCACCACAATACATCAAAGATCTGCTGTTGTTGTATCAACCTTCCAGACTCTCAGGTTCTGGTTCTGGTTCTGATCTGCATCCCCAGAACCAGAACCAAGAGAGGAGAAGCAGCTTTCAGCATCTATGCACCACAAATCTGGTGCATAGATGCTGAAAACTGTAAACCAGCAGAAACCCTGACTTCCTTTAAATTTCAACTAAAAACCAGCTGGTTAGAGTTTGATTTGAAATGTAATATAGACAATTCATAATAGACAATGTATTTATTATATGTTGCATGACTTTGTGTTCTTGTGTTCATGATGTAAAGCACTTTGAAATGCCTTGTTGCTGAAATGTGCTATACAAATACAATTTGATTGATTGATTGATGACCACTGATTGATGACCACTGATTAATGACCACTGATTAATGACCACTGATTGATGACCACTGATTAATGACCACTGATTGATGACCACTGATTAATGACCACTGATTAATGACCACTGATTAATGACCACTGATTGATGACCACTGATTAATGACCACTGATTGATGACCACTGATTGATGACCACTGATTAATGACCACTGATTAATGACCACTGATTGATGACCACTGATTGATGACCACTGATTGATGACCACTGATTGCCTCACATCCAGAACAAAGTGACTCAATGATCAAGGGATCAATTAGGATCAATAATCAATTCATTGTTTCTGCTCTCCCGTCGCTTTGGTGACTGTTCGCCTCATTACATTCAGGTTGTGACGTTTAAACAGTTAAAGATCCATATTTCTGTGTTTGTTTTGTTTCTTCCATGAACATTTAAATATTTAAAGAGGCAGATGAAAAACTACTGAGCAGCTCTGACCTGTTATTAAGGAAACACACCATGATGCATCAGATAGTTATTTATTATTGAATTAACAGTTAATCATCAGTTGTTCAGGATCAAATTTTTTTACTGATAAAGGTAACATAGTTGAAATGGTTCGGTTAAAATTCTGCTAAAATGGTTTCCTAGTTGTCCTGTGGTGAGTGTTTTTTTTTGGCGCCCCCTACTGGTTGCCTATAAAAGGAGGCGGGACTGCAGATTCCACACAGTCTGTTGGGCTCTCTGCTGTGATTGGTCATCGAGTCCAGTTCCTTTCTGAACAGCAGTGATGGTTGTGCTCTGAGACTAACGGGAGTTTTGCTGCAGTACCCAGAGCTGGTGGAGCAGCAGGGAGGCTCACTGTGTTTCTGTTATTCACACTCATTACAGGTAATTAATATTATGTTTGTCAGGTTCTGTGTTTAATTCTGAGTTTCTGTGTCCTGAGTTCTCCTCGTTGTCCTGTCTTCCCCTTGATTGTTCCCAGGTGTGTCTTGTTCTCCTGATTACCCTCAGTGTATTTAGTCCCTCCTGTGTCCTTTGTTCCTCGTCGGGTCCTTGTGTTGTTTGTTCGTACTTTTGCCTTTGTCTGCCGTTGTGTGTTTTTTTTAGCCGCCTGTAAGACCAGTTGCTACCGGCGTTGAGCCCTGGCTTCCGCTCAGCCGTGCTGCCTGGCCGCGGACTCTGACTGTGTTTTTGTGGACTATTTTCATTAAATTACTCACCATTCACCTACCTGGGTCTCTAGCGTCTGCCTCACCACCTCACCACCACCGTTTTATGACAGAAGGACCCGACCTGAAGTACGGTGAGGCACGCTGTTCCGCATAATGGACCCAGAGGGTATAGAGGAGCTGCTCCGAACGATCCGCGAGTATGAGGAGGCAAAGAGCACGTCCACGTTCGCCCTGAGACGGCCAGGGTTCGCGATACGCCTGGGCCTGCTACTGGACTATTGGGTTCCTCGTCTCCCGCACCCCGCGCTGGTGGAGCTGCAGCGGGAGGCAGAGGAGATACGCCGGACAGCCTTTGCTGCCTGGGATGCTAAACCTCTGCCTCCCAGGCCAGACATCCGCTCCGCCAGCCCAGCTCCAGCCGCTGTTCCACGTGCCGCTCCGCCGGCTGCTGTTCCTCGTGCTGCTCCGCCGGACCCCGCTCCGGCTTCGGCTCCTGCTCCGCCGGACCCCGCTCCGGCTTCGGCTCCTGCTCCGCCGGACCCCGCTCCGGCTTCGGCTCCTGCTCCGCCGGACCCCGCTCCGGCTTCGGCTCCTGCTCCGCCGGACCCCGCTCCGGCTTCGGCTCCTGCTCCGCCGGACCCCGCTCCGGCTTCGGCTCCGGCTTCGGCTCCTGCTCCGCCGGACCCCGCTCCGGCTTCGGCTCCTGCTCCGCCGGACCCCGCTCCGGCTTCGGCTCCTGCTCCGCCGGACCCCGCTCCGGCTTCGGCTCCTGCTCCGCCGGACCCCGCTCCGGCTTCGGCTCCTGCTCCGCCGGACCCCGCTCCGGCTTCGGCTCCTGCTCCGCCGGACCCCGCTCCGGCTTCGGCTCCTGCTCCGCCGGACCCCGCTCCGGCTTCGGCTCCTGCTCCGCCGGACCCCGCTCCGGCTTCGGCTCCTGCTCCGCCGGACCCCGCTCCGGCTTCGGCTCCTGCTCCGCCGGACCCCGCTCCGGCTTCGGCTCCTGCTCCGGCTCCTGCTCCGGCTCCTGCTCCGCCAGATTCCGCTCCGGCCTCCGTGGACTCTGCTCCTCGTGCGCTGCTCCTTCCGAGATCCCTAGTGCTCCTCCCAAGCCCCCTAGTGCTCCTCCCGAGTCCCCTAGTGCTCCTCCCGAGATCCCTAGTGCTCCTCCCGAGTCCCCTAGTGCTCCTCCCGAGTCCCCTAGTGCTCCTCCCGAGTCCCCTAGTGCTCCTCCCGAGTCCCCTAGTGCTCCTCCCGAGCCCCCTAGTGCTCCTCCCGAGCCCCCTAGTGCTCCTCCCGAGCCCCCTAGTGTTCCTCCAGTGCCCCCTAGTGTTCCTCCAGTGCCCCCTAGTGTTCCTCCAGTGCCCCCTAGTGTTCCTCGGCACCATGGACGCCCTCCGGACCTCGCCAGTGGGGTCTGGCTCGGGCGCCGCGGACGCCCTCCGGACCTCCCCCGTGGGGTCTGCCGCGGGCGCCGAGGACGCCCTCCGGACCCCCCTCGACGCCTCTGCCCTCTTTCTGTTTAGTTTTGGACTCTTGGCCCCTCCTTGTGTTTCCGCCCACCTTTTGTGGGTAGTTTTTTGTTTTCTGGCCCTCCTTCCGTCGCCCCTCCGCCCACCCTGGTTTTTGAGTTTTGGATTTTGGTTTTGGGCGTCTGGTAGCCGCCCTTTAAGGGGGGGGGGTACTGTCAGGTTCTGTGTTTAATTCTGAGTTTCTGTGTCCTGAGTTCTCCTCGTTGTCCTGTCTTCCCCTTGATTGTTCCCAGGTGTGTCTTGTTCTCCTGATTACCCTCAGTGTATTTAGTCCCTCCTGTGTCCTTTGTTCCTCGTCGGGTCCTTGTCGTTGTTTGTTCGTACTTTTGCCTTTGTCTGCCGTTGTGTGTTTTTTTTAGCCGCCTGTAAGACCAGTTGCTACCGGCGTTGAGCCCTGGCTTCCGCTCAGCCGTGCTGCCTGGCCGCGGACTCTGACTGTGTTTTTGTGGACTATTTTCATTAAATTACTCACCATTCACCTACCTGGGTCTCTAGCGTCTGCCTCACCACCTCACCACCACCGTTTTATGACAATGTTAGATGTCAGAAATGTATGTTGTCAGTTATTTTTCAGTTAAGTTTGTCAGAGTGTTTATTATGTTGTCGGTTTGCTGTATTTGCCTGTGTGTCAGTTTGTTTGTTCTCTGTTTCAGTTAGAAGTTAAAGTTAAATAGTTTATTAGTTCAATTTGACTGCTGTCTATTTTTATTTATCTGATTTTATTTATTTATAAGTGAAAGATTGTATGAATTTCATTTGAAAGTTGTGCTACTAATCAAAATCCAATATACGATCACCTGTTACAAAAAGTTATTGTTGAAGCCGATTGTATTGATTATTTGGAGGACAGTCTGTCAGGCACTCTGCTGTGTACCCAGAGCTGGTGGGCCAGTCGGGAGGCTCGCTGTGTTTCTTGTTATTCACACTCATTCCAGAAATTCACCCAACTGGTGTTGCAGCTCATATCTTCTGAGTATCTCCAGAGATTCATGGATAGTGATGCTGTGGGCCTTTAATTAACCCTTTGCTGCCCAAAATGGGATAATCCTGCTTCACTGCTTGTTTGGATTCTCAGCTTAAAAACTGATTCTATGAAATTTGGCCAGGATTCTTTTTATTATTTTCCTTTTTAAAAATATTTCTGCTTTTGTTCTTCTGACCCATTTGGTCCCATTGACTCCCCAACCCGCTTTAAGCTAACGCCAAAGTCACAGAGCGTTTAATTGTTTAGATGTTGTTGCTCTGGTCACCAGTAGCCTCTGAACGTTCGGCACTGGAACCAGAAGCTCCATCAATGTTTCAACATTTCTTACTGGAATCCTGGTTCGTTCCTCAGGAAGCTTCCAGAGGATCGGACCAGGCTGTCTGGGTCAGAACCGACACCAGTCCTGGAGGTCATCATGGTAACCAGCTCCTGTGTCTCTTTGTTGCTACAGATCAGCCAAAGCCGCATGTTCTGACCGACCCAGAGCTCCAGAACCAGCAGAGGAGCTCCAGTCCAGACCAGGAGGAAGCAGAGATTAGACCGATCCAGGAGGAACCAGAACCAGAGATTAGACCGAACCAGGAGGAACCAGAGATTAGAAACATGGTGATCAGGTTCCAACAGGAGAGCAGACCGCTGGGCATCTCCTGGCAACCCTTTGTTCTTCTGACCAGAATCGGTATGTATCCGACCAAATCTTCATCAAATCTTCATCAAATCTTCATCAAATCTTCATCAAATCTTCATCAAATCTTCATCAAATCTTCATCAAATCTTCATCAACGGTCTTATTGCAGTGAAAGTTGATCTAATGACCTGCTGAAGCTGCCGGTGGAAGCCGGCCGGGTCCAAATAGGACAAACTGACCAGAACCGTTTTCAGTAAACCAGGAAGTAAAATCTGGATTTGATCTAAAGGTTTTAGTATCAATTTATTTATTTAGCTTCATTTAGCCATTAATAAATATGTAACTAATGTTGAAAACTTATTATTTAATGTTTATTAATGCTTAATAACTCATGAATTAACTAATCCATGTGCTGCATGTGAATGTTAGCGAATGTTCAAATAAATGTACTTTCACTACATGTTAGCCATGTAGATATTTAATTTGTGCTGATTCTGCACTGCATCCATAAATAAGGCAGATGCTAATAGTTTGTTCATCTTTGTCTGAAATCTTTAAGACAATCAAACCAGATGAAGCCATGAGACAAAAAATATTCAAGATTTGACATTTTGAAACGTCAACAAAACAAATATCTCAGTTAGTTCCAGTAATTTGACTTCAAACTGGATCAAACCTGTAGAGTCAACGGTACGAAACACGCAGCAGAATATCTGCATGAAACCATGAATATTTTATTTTCACTAAATGAACATAAACGACAAATATGAGTGAATGTGGTGGAAAATAAACTGAGAGGCTTTTATTCTCCTGTATGATGATGATAAATAATTAGATGAATTAAACTGAGTTTCCCCTAAAGAACTGAAACTTTTAGTTACCAGACAGAGAGCAGAGATTTCCTCTCAAACAAAACTTTATTCTCTCCTGAAGGACAAGACGCAGCAAACGTTCATTTCAGAACCAGCAACAGATCCAAACCAATTATCAGATCAAAGATGGCCGCCGGTCTGGCCAATCAGCTCTCTGCAGCTCTAATGTCCTGAAGTTTCCCCGTCCAGAAACTGCAAAATATGAAATAAACTTTATTCTCCTTTAGCCTCCAGAACCTGCTGGTGGTTTCAGGAAAAACTGCTGATCAGTTTCTCTTGTTCCTGTTTGTCCTTCCAGACTTTCCAAAGCAACATGTCTGCAGGACGGAGGAGGTTCTGGACCAGAGGGAACCAGAACCAGAACCGCCACATCAGGAGATCGGGCCTGAAGAACCGCAGCTGCCACCGGACTGCGACGCCTTCATGAAACCTCTGTCAGATGAAGAATGTGAGCTGGAACCAGACGCTGATCAGAACCTCCCTGCAGCTCAGGACGGTTTGAACTCAGATCCTCATCGGATCAACGAGCATCTGGATCAAAACCTTCAAAGAACAAAAGACAAACAAAAACGTCTTCCAACCAAGTCCAACAAACCTCAAAGGAAAGCCAGAAGGAAAGGAAACGTCATTTGTTGTCATAAATGTGGGAAAAGGTATGTTTATATAAAATCTCTAGTGACTCACATGAGCACCCACTTCATGAAGCTGGACTCATGTAAAACCTGCGGGAAAAACTTCAGTTCTGCAAAGGCCCTGAGAATCCACATGGCAGAGCACAGCCTTCACAGAGCATCCATGTGAGACAAACGGGGAGCGATTCTCAGGGAATCTGCTCCACTGACGCACATCGGAAACCACAGCGACGAGACAACTGGGAAACGATGCTCTACTGGGAAACGATGCTCTACTGGGAAACGATGCTCTACTGGGAAACGATGCTCTACTGGGAAACGATGCTCTACTGGGAAACGATGCTCTACTGGGAAACGACGCTCTACTGGGAAACGACGCTCTACTGGGAAACGACGCTCTACTGGGAAACGATGCTCTACTGGGAAACGATGCTCTACTGGGAAACGATGCTGGTCCACAGGAGAAGGCACAGGGATGAGAAGTCCTACTGATGTGCAGCCTGTGAGAAAAAGTTCATCTCATGCTCTGGTTGCAGACACATGAGAAACTCCACTCATGTTTTTCCTCAGCCTTTCAGCTGAACCGTCACATGAAATCTGAGTCCTGTGGGGAAGTTAAAGCAGCAGAACGAGGGACTCGTCTGATCCTCATATCAGAGCTAAATCAGCCGTTTGCTCATGTTAGTCTGAACTGTGTTGTTAAACCAAAGGCAGCCAGAAAGTTCCTGAAACTGAGAATGAATGAAGCTGCATGTATGTGACACGTGGCATAAAATATAAACTGTACAGTAGAAACATTTCTTGATAATTGTTTGAATAAAAGGTTCTCAGTAAACGTGGTTGATGTGAAGAAAGTTCCTGAATATTTATTTGGTTCATCCTCAGATTGTTCTGCTGGATCAGCCGGTAAACAATATTCTCAGTTTCTCTTTATTCCAACATCACAAAGGTCAAAGGTCTTTAGAGTTTTGGTTTCATGGTTTTTCTGCTTTAGTTTTGGGCGACCTGGTTCTTCTGACCTGTGATGAACTTGACTCCTCTGTTCTTTATTCTCTAGTTTTAGATTATTTAGATTTTGTTATCTTTTATTATTTGACTGCTGCTTCGTAGTTTCTGTCAGCAGCTCTTTGTTTGGCACATATTTTAATAAATGTTAAGTCATGAAGAAACGTTTCCATATCAATGATTTTTCTGTTCTTAAACTTTTAACTGGATTGGACTTTATGAGTTATTTAAAAAAATAATTTGATCTTGTTTGGGATAAAATACTATTGACAATATGAAAATGTCTTTGTGTAAATTCAGTTGTGATTAAATTGATCTGTAATGTGATCAATCAGTTCAGATGTTTCTTGAATCAGTTATTAAATATTTTTTGAAACTCAGTCCCTGATTTTCTGTCTTTGTTTCACAGCTTGATAAATATCAGGAGATGTTTATAAATACAGATTTATTTAAACCTTTGGTCAGGTTCTGGTCCGGTTCTGGTCCGGTTCTGGTCCGGTCCTCCTGATGGACCCGGTGGAACCGAGTCCAGTTTGGATATTTTCCATTTGAAGACCAGCCTGAGTCTCTACAGAAAGTTCTTTCCTCATGAGTCCATCTGGTTTATGAAGTGCAGCCCCACAGCATGATGCTGCCACCACTTTACTTCACAGTGAGGACGGTACAAGCGTCTTCGTTTTCACTCCAAATGTATCGATGGTCATCAGGTCCAAACAGACCAACTATGGTTTGATCTGACATGAATCTGAAGGTCAGTGTTCATCTCTTCCTGGCTGAGCCGCCTTCAGTCGGACAGTTTGTTGGTGGATGAAGTCGCTGCTTCACAGCTTCATCCAGAAACTCCAACAGCTCTTTGACTCTCTGCACATTTGGAACTAAAGACCAAAATCCTGTTTCGTTTGACTTTCCCGTCGTGTTTTTATCATCATATTTATCTAGTCGTTAGCTTGCGGCCATACTACCTGCCGAGGGAGTTCAGTCACGTGATCTCCATCTGCGTTTACATCCCACGAGAGCGGACGCTACCACTGCCTGTGAAAAAATCCACTCTGTCACAGCAGGGCTACAGACAAAACATCCTGACGCTTTTATTATAATCTCTGGGGACTTCAACCATGTGACCTTGGACTCTACTTTGGCCACTTTCCACCAAGCTGTTGACTGCCCCACCAGGAATAACAGGACAATCGACCTCCTGTATGCCAATGTGAGGGATGCATACAGAGCAACACCCCTCCCCCCACTAGGGAAGTCAGATCACAACATCGTTCACCTACAGCCACTGTACACCCCCCTGGTCCAAAAGCAGCCTACAACAGCTCGCTCCATCAGGAGGTGGTCCCCTGAGATGGAGAGTGCTCTGAGAGACTGTTATAACACCATGGACTGGGATGCACTGTTCAGCCCGCATGGCCAGGACATAGAGGGGCTGACACACTGCCTGACGGACTATCTGAACTTCTGCGCAGATGTGGTATCCCCTGCTAAGACTGTCCGCTGTTACCCTAATAACAAGCCTTGGGTAACGCGGGAAGTCAAAACTGTCCTCAACAAGAAGAAGGTTGCCTTCAGGAGAGGAGACAGGGAGGCCATGAAGGCAGCACAGCAGGAGGTGAAGCAGTGTGTGAGGGAAGCAAAAGACAGCTACAGGAGAAAGGTGGAGCAGAAGCTGAGAGAGAACAACATGAGGGAGGTCTGGGAAGGTGTGAGGACCATCACTGGCCTCAACACAAAGACCAGAGTCGTTGGGGGAACAATGGAGAGGGCAAACGACCTGAACAACTTCTTCAACAGGTTCAACCAGTCTGTGCCCTCCCAACCCCCTCTCTCACTGCAGCAACCTCTGCTCCTTACCACACACCTCCCCACAGACAACAAAACATGACAACCCCCCCACACCTCAGCACAACCTCCACCCCACATCACCACAGACCAGGTCAGAGAACAGCTGAGGAAGCTCAAGCCCAGGAAAGCAGCAGGGCCGGACCAGGTGTGTCCAAGGCTGCTGAAGACCTGCGCTGCTGAACTGGGAGAGCCACTACAGCGGATCTTCAACCTCAGCCTACAGCTAAGGGAAGTGCCCACCCTCTGGAAGACATCCTGCATCGTCCCAGTGCCCAAGAAGAACAGGCCCAGCGAGCTGAATGACTTTCGGCCCGTGGCACTCACTTCACACCTGATGAAGACGTTGGAGCGGCTCTTCCTCGGCCTCCTCAGACCTCAGGTGGAACATGCTCAGGACCTCCTGCAATTCGCCTACCAGGCAGATGTTGGTGTGGAGGATGCCATCCTCTACCTGCTGCACCGGGCCCACTCCCACCTGGATAAGGGCAGTGGCACAGTGAGGATCCTTTTCTTGGACTTCTCCAGTGCCTTCAATACAATCCAGCCCCTTCTGCTCCAGGACAAACTAAATAGCATGGGAGTGGACCAGCACCTGGTCACCTGGATCCATAGTTACCTCACCAACAGGCCGCAGTATGTCAGGCTAAAGGACACCGTGTCTGACACTGTGGTCAGCAGCACAGGAGCCCCTCAGGGCACAGTGCTGGCCCCTCTTCTCTTCACCCTGTACTCCTCTGACTTCCACTACAACTCGGAGCTGTGCCACATACAGAAGTATGCAGATGACACAGCCATAGTCGGATGTATCAGGGACGACGGAGAGGAGGAATATCGCTGTCTGGTGAGGGACTTTGCTCTCTGGTGCCACACAAACCACCTGGAACTCAACACCTCTAAGACGAAGGAGCTGGTTATAGACTTTGGGAGGTCCAGACCAAAGCCGAGACCAGTCGTACTAGAGGGAACGGAGGTTGAGGTCGTGGACTCCTACAAGTACCTCGGGCTGTGGCTGGACAGTAAACTGGATTGGTCAAAACACACCAGCCACCTGTACGGGAAGGTGCAGAGCAGGATGTACTTCCTGAGGAGACTGCGGTCCTTTAACATCTGCAGCAAACTGCTGTGGATGTTCTACCAGTCAGTGATCGCCAGTGTCCTCTTCTACACCGTGGTGTGCTGCGGAGGCAGCACATCCAAGAAGGACACGTCCAGACTGGACAAACTGATCAGGCGTGCCGGCTCTGTGGTCGGCATGAAGTTGGACTCTCTGGTGACGGTGGCAGAGGCGAGGACACTGAACAAACTGCTGGACATCATGGACGATAGCAGCCACTCTCTACATGCCGTCATCAGCAGCCAGAGGAGCCTGTTCAGTGACAGACTGCTGCTTCCCAAGTGCCGGACCAATAGATTCAAGAACTCCTTTGTCCCCCACGCCTTCAGACTGTACAACTCCTCACTGGGGGGTCGGAGGTGACACAGGACAGAGGGAAGAAGGAGTAGTTTTTCTACAAATGTGAACTCCATATTTATCAGGCCAAACCATACAGTGCAATACCATATCACTGGTCAATCTATCCACCAAATTGCTATAATTTCCTTTTGTGTTGTATTTATATTCTTTGTTTTGTATTTAATTTATATTTTTTTGTATTCTTTTGTGTATGCTTACTGTGTGCCACATTTTTGCCTGTGAGCTGCTGGTAACTATAATTTCCTGAGGGAGTCTTCCCAAGGGATCAATAAAGTCAAGTCTAAGTCTCTAAGGAAGTTTAGCTTCAGATCTGTGAAAAAGTGTCGAAGTTAAAGCTGCTGGTACCAGCAACTCCTCCAAACAGAACCAGAACCTCTGCAGGGTTAAGGAGGAAAATATTAGTCAATCATTATTATGAATAAATATGAACTGGCCATAATGTATACATTATTAATGCTTCCAATTCAAAACATATTAAAATGAATATTTTACACACATTGGGTCATTTTGGTTTGACTCAAACGTTTCCAATAAATTCACAGCATAAGAAGAAAATATTTGTCCAGATTTATCACTAAAATAAAGGATTAAAGGTCAATCTGCTTCATTTCACCAGAAATGACAAAAGGTGTATGATATGATATTTGATGACCAATGATTGATGACCTCTGATTGATCTTTAGTCGCATTGATTATTGTAACAGCGTCTTCACAATCCTGTCCAACAAATCAATCCTCCAGCTGCAGCTGATCCAGAAGCTGCTGATCCAGAAGCTGCTGATCCAGAAGCTGCTGATCTAGAAGCTGCTGATCCAGAACCAGCTGATCTAGAAGCTGCTGATCCAGAAGCTGCTGATCTAGAAGCTGCTGATCTAGAAGCTGCTGATCCAGAAGCTGCTGATCCAGAAGCTGCTGCTCCTGTTCTCACTAGAACCAGGAAGATAGAGACATAACAGCAGTTTTAAAGTCCCTCCACTGGCTCCCTGTAGCTCAAAGAATAGACTTTAAAATACTGTTGTTAGTTTATAAATCACTGAACGGTTTAGCACCACAATACATCAAAGATCTGCTGTTGTTGTATCAACCTTCCAGACTCTCAGGTTCTGGTTCTGGTTCTGCTCTGCATCCCCAGAACCAGAACCAAGAGAGGAGAAGCAGCTTTCAGCATCTATGCACCACAAATCTGGTGCATAGATGCTGAAAACTGTAAACCAGCAGAAACCTGACTTCCTTTAAATTTCAACTAAAAACCAGCTGGTTAGAGTTTGATTTGAAATGTAATATAGACAATTCATAATAGACAATGTATTGTCTATTATATGTTGCATGACTTTGTGTTCTTGTGTTTATGATGTAAAGCACTTTGAAATGCCTTGTTGCTGAAATGTGCTATACAAATACAATTTGATTGATTGATTGATTGATTGATTGATTGATTGATGACCACTGATTAATGATCACTGATTAATGACCACTGATTAATGACCACTGATTGATGACCACTGATTAATGACCACTGATTGATGACCACTGATTAATGACCACTGATTGATGACCACTGATTAATGACCACTGATTAATGACCACTGATTGATGACCACTGATTAATGACCACTGATTGATGACCACTGATTAATGACCACTGATTGATGACCACTGATTAATGACCACTGATTGATGACCACTGATTAATGACCACTGATTGATGACCACTGATTGATGACCACTGATTAATGACCACTGATTGATGACCACTGATTAATGACCACTGATTAATGACCACTGATTAATGACCACTGATTGATGACCACTGATTGATGACCACTGATTAATGACCACTGATTAATGACCACTGATTGCCTCACATCCAGAACAAAGTGACTCAATGAAGGAGGGATCAATTGGGATCAATAATCAATTCATTGTTTCTGCTCTCCCTTCGCTTTGGTGACTGTTCGCCTCATTACATTCAGGTTGTGACGTTTAAACAGTTAAAGATCCATATTTCTGTGTTTGTTTTGTTTTCCATGAACATTTAAATATTTAAAGAGGCAGATGAAAAACTACTGAGCAGCTCTGACCTGTTATTAAGGAAACACACCATGATGCATCAGATAGTTATTTATTATTGAATTAACAGTTAATCATCAGTTGTTGTTCAGGATCAAATTGTTTTTTACTGATAAAGGTAACATAGTTGAAATGGTTCGGTTAAAATTCTGCTAAAATGGTTTCCTAGTTGTCCTGTGGTGAGTGTTTTTTTTTTGGCGCCCCCTACTGGTTGCCTATAAAAGGAGGCGGGACTGCAGATTCCACACAGTGTTGGGCTCTCTGCTGTGATTGGTCATCGAGTCCAGTTCCTTTCTGAACAGCAGTGATGGTTGTGCTCTGAGACTAACGGGGAGTTTTGCTGCAGTACCCAGAGCTGGTGAGCAGCAGGGAGGCTCACTGTGTTTCTGTTATTCACACTCATTACAGGTAATTATTATGTTTGTCAGGTTCTGTGTTTAATTCTGAGTTTCTGTGTCCTGAGTTCTCCTCGTTGTCCTGTCTTCCCCTTGATTGTTCCCAGGTGTGTCTTGTTCTCCTGATTACCCTCAGTGTATTTAGTCCCTCCTGTGTCCTTTGTTCCTCGTTGGGTCCTTGTCGTTGTCGTACTTTGCCTTTGTCTGCCGTTGTGTGTTTTTTTTAGCCGCCTGTAAGACCAGTTGCTACCGGCGTTGAGCCCTGGCTTCCGCTCAGCCGTGCTGCCTGGCCGCGGACTCTGACTGTGTTTTTGTGGACTATTTTCATTAAATTACTCACCATTCACCTACCTGGGTCTCTAGCGTCTGCCTCACCACCTCACCACCACCGTTTTATGACAGAAGGACCCGACCTGAAGTACGGTGAGGCACGCTGTTCCGCATAATGGACCCAGAGGGTATAGAGGAGCTGCTCCGAACGATCCGCGAGTATGAGGAGGCAAAGAGCACGTCCACGTTCGCCCTGAGACGGCCAGGGTTCGCGATACGCCTGGGCCTGCTACTGGACTATTGGGTTCCTCGTCTCCCGCACCCCGCGCTGGTGGAGCTGCAGCGGGAGGCAGAGGAGATACGCCGGACAGCCTTGCTGCCTGGGATGCTAAACCTCTGCCTCCCAGGCCAGACATCCGCTCCGCCAGCCCAGCTCCAGCCGCTGTTCCACGTGCCGCTCCGCCGGCTGCTGTTCCTCGTGCTGCTCCGCCGGACCCCGCTCCGGCTTCGGCTCCTGCTCCGCCGGACCCCGCTCCGGCTTCGGCTCCTGCTCCGCCGGACCCCGCTCCGGCTTCGGCTCCTGCTCCGCCGGACCCCGCTCCGGCTTCGGCTCCTGCTCCGCCGGACCCCGCTCCGGCTTCGGCTCCTGCTCCGCCGGACCCCGCTCCGGCTTCTGCTCCTGCTCCGCCGGATTCCCTCCGGCTCCTGCTCCGCCAGATTCCGCTCCGGCCTCCGTGGACTCTGCTCCTCGTGCCGCTGCTCCTTCCGAGATCCCTAGTGCTCCTCCCGAGCCCCCTAGTGCTCCTCCAGTGCCCCCTAGTGCTCCTCCCGAGCCCCCTAGTGTTCCTCCAGTGCCCCCTAGTGTTCCTCCAGTGCCCCCTAGTGCTCCTCCCGAGCCCCCTAGTGCTCCTCCAGTGCCCCCTAGTGTTCCTCCAGTGCCCCCTAGTGTTCCTCCCGAGCCCCCTAGTGCTCCTCCAGTGCCCCCTAGTGTTCCTCCAGTGCCCCCTAGTGTTCCTCCAGTGCCCCCTAGTGTTCCTCCAGTGCCCCCTAGTGCTCCTCCCGTGCCCCCTAGTGCTCCTCCAGTGCCCCCTAGTGTTCCTCCAGTGCCCCCTAGTGCTCCTCCAGTGCCCCCTAGTGTTCCTCCAGTGCCCCCTAGTGTTCCTCCAGTGCCCCCTAGTGTTCCTCCAGTGCCCCCTAGTGTGCCCCCTAGTGTTCCTCCCGAGCCCCTAGTGCTCCTCCCGAGCCCCTAGTGCTCCTCCCGTGCCCCCTAGTGCTCCTCCAGTGCCCCCTAGTGCTCCTCCAGTGTCCCCTAGTGCTCCTCCAGTGCCCCCTAGTGTTCCTCCAGTGCCCCCTAGTGTTCCTCGGCACCATGGACGCCCTCCGGACCTCGCCCGTGGGGTCTGCCGCGGGCGCCGAGGCCGCCCTCCGGACCCCCCTCGACGCCTCTGCCCTCTTTCTGTTTAGTTTTGGACTCTTGGCCCCTCCTTGTGTTTCCGCCCTTTTGTGGGTAGTTTTTTGTTTTTCTGGCCCTCCTTCCGTCGCCCTCCGCCCCCACCCTGGTTTTTGAGTTTTGGATTTTGGTTTTGGGCGTCTGGTAGCCGCCCTTAAGGGGGGGGGTACTGTCAGGTTCTGTGTTTAATTCTGAGTTTCTGTGTCCTGAGTTCTCCTCGTTGTCCTGTCTTCCCCTTGATTGTTCCCAGGTGTGTCTTGTTCTCCTGATTACCCTCAGTGTATTTAGTCCCTCCTGTGTCCTTTGTTCCTCGTCGGGTCCTTGTCGTTGTTTGTTCGTACTTTTGCCTTTGTCTGCCGTTGTGTGTTTTTTTTAGCCGCCTGTAAGACCAGTTGCTACCGGCGTTGAGCCCTGGCTTCCGCTCAGCCGTGCTGCCTGGCCGCGGACTACGTCTTTGACTGTTTGTTGTTGTTATTGGACTTATTTTCATTAAATTACTCACCATTCACCTACCTGGGTCTCTAGCGTCTGCCTCACCACCTCACCACCACCGTTTTATGACAATGTTAGATGTCAGAAATGTATGTTGTCAGTTATTTTCAGTTAAGTTTGTCAGAGTGTTTATTATGTTGTCGGTTTGCTGTATTTGCCTGTGTGTCAGTTTGTTTGTTCTCTGTTTCAGTTAGAAGTTAAAGTTAAATAGTTTATTAGTTCAATTTGACTGCTGTCTATTTTTATTTATCTGATTTTATTTATTTATAAGTGAAAGATTGTATGAATTTCATTTGAAAGTTGTGCTACTAATCAAAATCCAATATACGATGTTACAAAAAGTTATTGTTGAAGCCGATTGTATTGATTATTTGGAGGACAGTCTGTCAGGCACTCTGCTGTGTACCCAGAGCTGGTGGGCCAGTCGGGAGGCTCGCTGTGTTTCTTGTTATTCACACTCATTCCAGAAATTCACCCAACTGGTGTTGCAGCTCATATCTTCTGAGTATCTCCAGAGATTCATGGATAGTGATGCTGTGGGCCTTAATTAACCCTTTGCTGCCCAAAATGGGATAATCCTGCTTCACTGTTTGGATTCTCAGCTTAAAAACTGATTCTATGAAATTTGGCCAGGATTCTTTTATTATTTTACTTTTTAAAAATATTTTGCTTTTGTTCTTCTGACCCATTTGGTCCCATTGACTCCCCAACCCGCTTTAAGCTAACGCCAAAGTCACAGAGCCTTTAATTGTTTAGATGTTGTTGCTCTGGTCACCAGTAGCCTGAACGTTCGGCACTGGAACCAGAAGCTCCATCAATGTTTCAACATTTCTTACTGGAATCCTGGTTCGTTCCTCAGGAAGCTTCCAGAGGATCGGACCAGGCTGTCTGGGTCAGAACCGACACCAGTCCTGGAGGTCATCATGGTAACCAGCTCCTGTGTCTCTTTGTTGCTACAGATCAGCCAAAGCCGCATGTTCTGACCGACCCAGAGCTCCAGAACCAGCAGAGGAGCTCCAGTCCAGACAGGAGGAAGCAGAGATTAGACCGATCCAGGAGGAACCAGAACCAGAGATTAGACCGAACCAGGAGGAACCAGAGATTAGAAACATGGTGATCAGGTTCCAACAGGAGAGCAGACCGCTGGGCATCTCCTGGCAACCCTTTGTTCTTCTGACCAGAATCGGTATGTATCCGACCAAATCTTCATCAAATCTTCATCAAATCTTCATCAAATCTTCATCAAATCTTCATCAACGGTCTTATTGCAGTGAAAGTTGATCTAATGACCTGCTGAAGCTGCCGGTGGAAGCCGGCCGGGTCCAAATAGGACAAACTGACCGGAACCGTTTTCAGTAAACCAGGAAGTAAAATCTGGATTTGATCTAAAGGTTTTAGTATCAATTTATTTATTTAGCTTCATTTAGCCATTAATAAATATGTAACTAATGTTGAAAACTTATTATTTAATGTTTATTAATGCTTAATAACTCATGAATTAACTAATCCATGTGCTGCATGTGAATGTTAGCGAATGTTCAAATAAATGTACTTTCACTACATGTTAGCCATGTAGATATTTAATTTGTGCTGATTCTGCACTGCATCCATAAATAAGGCAGATGCTAATAGTTTGTTCATCTTTGTCTGAAATCTTTAAGACAATCAAACAGATGAAGCCATGAGACAAAAAATATTCAAGATTTGACATTTTGAAACGTCAACAAAACAAATATCTCAGTTAGTTCCAGTAATTTGACTTCAAACTGGATCAAACCTGTAGAGTCAACGGTACGAAACACGCAGCAGAATATCTGCCTAAAATATTCATGAAACATGAGTATTTTATTTTCACTAAATGAACATAACGACAAATATGAGTGAATGTGGTGGAAAATAAACTGAGAGGCTTTTATCTCCTGTATGATGATGATAAATAATTAGATGAATTAAACTGAGTTTCCCCTAAAGAACTGAAACTTTTAGTTACCAGACAGAGAGCAGAGATTTCCTCTCAAACAAAACTTTATTCTCTCCTGAAGGACAAGACGCAGCAAACGTTCAGTTCAGAACCAGCAACAGATCCAAACCAATTATCAGATCAAAGATGGCCGCCGGTCTGGCCAATCAGCTCTCTGCAGCTCTAATGTCCTGAAGTTTCCCCGTCCAGAAACTGCAAAATATGAAATAAACTTTATTCTCCTTTAGCCTCCAGAACCTGCTGGTGGTTTCAGGAAAAACTGCTGATCAGTTTCTCTTGTTCCTGTTTGTCCTTCCAGACTTTCCAAAGCAACATGTCTGCAGGACGGAGGAGGTTCTGGACCAGAGGGAACCAGAACCAGAACCGCCACATCAGGAGATCGGGCCTGAAGAACCGCAGCTGCCACCGGACTGCGACGCCTTCATGAAACCTCTGTCAGATGAAGAATGTGAGCTGGAACCAGACGCTGATCAGAACCTCCCTGCAGCTCAGGACGGTTTGAACTCAGATCCTCATCGGATCAACGAGCATCTGGATCAAAACCTTCAAAGAACAAAAGACAAACAAAAACGTCTTCCAACCAAGTCCAACAAACCTCAAAGGAAAGCCAGAAGGAAAGGAAACGTCATTTGTTGTCATAAATGTGGGAAAAGGTATGTTTATATAAAATCTCTAGTGACTCACATGAGCACCCACTTCATGAAGCTGGACTCATGTAAAACCTGAAAAAAAAAACTTCAGTTCTGCAAAGGCCCTGAGAATCCACATGGCAGAGCACAGCCTTCACAGAGCATCCATGTGAGACAAACGGGGAGCGATTCTCAGGGAATCTGCTCCACTGACGCACATCGGAAACCACAGCGACGAGACAACTGGGAAACGATGCTCTACTGGGAAACGATGCTCTACTGGGAAACGATGCTCTACTGGAAACGATGCTACTGGGAAACGATGCTCTACTGGGAAACGATGCTCTACTGGGAAACGATGCTCTACTGGGAAACGATGCTCTACTGGGAAACGCTCTACTGGGAAACGATGCTGGTCCACAGGAGAAGGCACAGGGATGAGAAGTCCTACTGATGTGCAGCCTGTGAGAAAAAGTTCATCTCATGCTCTGGTTGCAGACACATGAGAAACTCCACTCATGTTTTTCCTCAGCCTTTCAGCTGAACCGTCACATGAAATCTGAGTCCTGTGGGGAAGTTAAAGCAGCAGAACGAGGGACTCGTCTGATCCTCATATCAGAGCTAAATCAGCCGTTTGCTCATGTTAGTCTGAACTGTGTTGTTAAACCAAAGGCAGCCAGAAAGTTCCTGAAACTGAGAATGAATGAAGCTGCATGTATGTGACACGTGGCATAAAATATAAACTGTAGAGTAGAAAACATTTCTTGATAATTGTTTGAATAAAAGGTTCTCAGTAAACGTGGTTGATGTGAAGAAAGTTCCTGAATATTTATTTGGTTCATCCTCAGATTGTTCTGCTGGATCAGCCGGTAAACAATATTCTCAGTTTCTCTTTATTCCAACATCACAAAGGTCAAAGGTCTTTAGAGTTTTGGTTTCATGGTTTTTCTGCTTTAGTTTTGGGCGACCTGGTTCTGACCTGTGATGAACTTGACTCCTCTGTTCTTTATTCTCTAGTTTTAGATTATTTAGATTTTGTTATCTTTTATTATTTGACTGCTGCTTCGTAGTTTCTGTCAGCAGCTTTGTTTGGCACATATTTTAATAAATGTTAAGTCATGAAGAAACGTTTCCATATCAATGATTTTTCTGTTCTTAAACTTTTAACTGGATTGGACTTTATGAGTTATTTAAAAAAATAATTTGATCTTGTTTGGGATAAAATACTATTGACAATATGAAAATGTCTTTGTGTAAATTCAGTTGTGATTAAATTGATCTGTAAATGTGATCAATCAGTTCAGATGTTTCTTGAATCAGTTATTAAATATTTTTTGAAACTCAGTCCCTGATTTTCTGTCTTTTTCACAGCTTGTAAATATCAGGAGATGTTTATAAATACAGATTTATTTAAACCTTTGGTCCGGTTCTGGTCCGGTTCTGGTCCGGTTCTGGTCCGGTTCTGGTCCGGTTCTGGTCCGGTCCTGATGGACCCGGTGGAACCGAGTCCAGTTTGGATATTTTCCATTTGAAGACCAGCCTGAGTCTCTACAGAAAGTTCTTTCCTCATGAGTCCATCTGGTTTATGAAGTGCAGCCCCACAGCATGATGCTGCCACCACTTTACTTCACAGTGAGGACGGTACAAGCGTCTTCGTTTCACAAATGTATCGATGGTCATCAGGTCCAAACAGACCAACTATGGTTTGATCTGACATGAATCTGAAGGTCAGTGTTCATCTCTTCCTGGCTGAGCCGCCTTCAGTCGGACAGTTTGTTGGTGGATGAAGTCGCTGCTTCACAGCTTCATCCAGAAACTCCAACAGCTCTTTGACTCTCTGCACATTTGCAACTAAAGACCAAAATCCTGTTTCGTTTGACTTTCCCGTCGTTTTTTATCATCATATTTCAGGAAGTTTAGCTTCAGATCTGTGAAAAAGTGTCGAAGTTAAAGCTGCTGGTACCAGCAACTCCTCCAAACAGAACCAGAACCTCTGCAGGGTTAAGGAGGAAAATATTAGTCAATCATTATTTATGAATAAATATGAATGGCCATAATGTATACATTATTAATGCTTCCAATTCAAAACATATTAAAATGAATATTTTACACACATTGGGTCATTTTGGTTTGACTCAAACGTTTCCAATAAATTCACAGCATAAGAAGAAAATATTGTGTCCAGATTTATCACTAAAATAAAGGATTAAAGGTCAATCTTCATTTCACCAGAAATGACAAAAGGTGTATGATATGATATTTGATGACCAATGATTGATGACCTCTGATTGATCTTTAGTCGCATTGATTATTGTAACAGCGTCTTCACAGGCCTGTCCAACAAATCAATCCTCCAGCTGCAGCTGATCCAGAAGCTGCTGATCCAGAAGCTGCTGATCCAGAAGCTGCTGATCCAGAAGCTGCTGCTCCTGTTCTCACTAGAACCAGGAAGATAGAGACATAACAGCAGTTTTAAAGTCCCTCCACTGGCTCCCTGTAGCTCAAAGAATAGACTTTAAAATACTGTTGTTAGTTTATAAATCACTGAACGGTTTAGCACCACAATACATCAAAGATCTGCTGTTGTTGTATCAACCTTCCAGACTCTCAGGTTCTGGTTCTGGTTCTGATCTGCATCCCCAGAACCAGAACCAAGAGAGAGAGAAGCAGTTTTCAGCATCTATGCACCACAAATCTGGTGCATAGATGCTGAAAACTGTAAACCAGCAGAAACCCTGACTTCCTTTAAATTTCAACTAAAAACCAGCTGGTTAGAGTTTGATTTGAAATGTAATATAGACAATTCATAATAGACAATGTATTGTCTATTATATGTTGCATGACTTTGTGTTCTTGTGTTCATGATGTAAAGCACTTTGAAATGCCTTGTTGCTGAAATGTGCTATACAAATACAATTTGATTGATTGATTGATTGATTGATTGATTGATTGATTGATTGATTGATTGATGACCACTGATTGATGACCACTGATTGATGACCACTGATTAATGACCACTGATTAATGACCACTGATTAATGACCACTGATTAATGACCACTGATTGCCTCACATCCAGAACAAAGTGACTAAATGAACGAGGGAGTCACTTTCAATGGGCGTGATGAGGAGGAGCGGCCGCAGGGGCGCAGTGCAGCAGAAACAATACAAAACACTAGAGAATAATCATCATCATCATCATCATCATCATCATCATCATCATCATGCCTGCTACTCTGTCTGCGTTCCTCTCCCACAGAATGTATTTGATACATTTACTGATAAGTTTAAACGATTTTTTCAAATTATACTGAAATTACTTTACTGCAACAGTTTTTTTTAAAGTTTCATTTTGGTGATTTATTGTGTTTAAATTTTTTTCGTTGCAAATTAGAGTAAATAAAGGGTTTGATTTTATTATATTAAATAGTTTTTCGGTAAGTTTAGAGAAAAACTGATGAACGCAGTGTGTGATTTTCCCCAGCAGGGGCAGCAGAGCAGCAGATTCATATAAAACTGTTTTTATGTCAAAGCTGCAATTCTATAATTCTACAATTATATGACATAAAAACTGTTGGTTTATATTTTTTCCTATTTTTTGCCCAGAAATTTGCGTTTTCATTCATTTTTTACAAACATATTAGTAATGAACACTTCAAAAGCTTTTCATAACTTGATGTTTTAATTTAGATCATATTTAAAAAGTTTTTACATCATTTTATTGTTTCAGTTTCCATTAAATTTTTATTTGATGTTTTATCATGTTTAAAATCAAATATGATTCATTTTTAACTCGTTGAATCAAAGCAAATTAAATTTTTTTTCTGTTTGTTTTTGGATGTTTATTTTGAAAACCTACAATTATTGGTGAGGTTTAAATATTTTATGATTTTAGGACTTTTAGTGCTGTGTGGTCATTTATTATTTAAAAGATGTTTTAATTTCTTATAATAAAAATATTTGTTTGATGTCTTTATGTTTTTTATTGATAAATCTTTTCGTTCATTGCTTTTAAATCATTTTCAGGTTATTCTCAGGAATAAACATGTTTTGTTTTCCTTGTTTTCCTTCTTTGTTTTGATGACGTCATTACTGGACCATCTCGGATTTCCCGGAACTTTCTCCCCTTGCATCATTTACAGTCAGTCTGGACCACCCGAACCGTTACCCTGCACATCCGCAGGATAAACTAGTTCCCTCTTTAAACCGGTCCTCCGACCCGGTTCGGTCCGGAACTGGTACCGGAGCCCTGCTGTCTGTCGGAACCGCCGGTGCTGACGGTTCGCGGTGGTCAGAGAGCAGAAAGAGGCGCTTTTTAGGTTGTTACGTAGAAGATGAGTGGCGGGAACGTCGTGACGTCAGCGGAAAGGAAAGAAGTCGGAGGGTATAAAAGCGAGACGTTCAGCAAGATGCGGTGATTCAGACTGAGAACGGAGCTGACCCGAACCCGACCCGAACCCACCAGCTCAGAGACAATAACAGCAACCATAATTATCCAGTTATTGATCCGGATCCATCGATCAGGTTCTGCTCAGAAAACTTTCCTCTGAAGATTTGAACTTTTTTCTCCAGAAACTTTGAGGTGAGTTCATCTGCTCCTCATTAATATTCATAAACCTGATATTTAATCCATGATGTTTGAATAAACTCAAACGTTTGGATCAGAAGAATCACTGTTTATGTCCCAGCTTTATAACAGTTTTATGTTAAATAATGTTTTAAATTAAACCTGATATTAAACCCGATCAGCTTCTTCTTCTGTGGTTTTGTGCAAATATGATGATTCAGAATCCATAGATATGTTGAATTAGCTGAGACCAAACAAAAACATGTTGACTGTTATTAAACTATATTCACTTTCTGACATTTCCTAGAGGAAAAATAATAAAAATAAAATATTTTTCCTTTAGATTTGTTCAAATAAACGCAAAATAAGCAGATATGATTGTTAACATTTTAGATTTATTCTGATAATTTAAAGATAGTTTTAACAATATCAAGCTCTTTTATCTGGATCTGATTGGCTGCGGCTGCTTCGCTGATTTTTCCGATGCTTTTGCAGTCAGTGAACGCATCACTTTAAGGTTCTGATGGTAGAAACAGATCCTGGTTCTGATGGAGTCTGCAGTTTGGACCCGACAAGATCATTGTATTTCTTGTTGAAGTCATGTTTAACTGTTTCCTGTGCAGGCGGCCATGATGGCGGTCATGTTGGCCACGCCCCCATCGCCCTACGACTTCGACTCCAGTCAGCCGTGTTTCTTCCTGGGCGGAGACGATGAGGACGTCTTCCCCAGCCAGCTGCTCCCTGGTCCCGGCGAGGACATCTGGAAGAAGTTTGAGCTCCTGCCGACGCCGCCCACGTCCCCCAGCCGGACCCCGCCCCGTTCGGACCCGCCGCTGTCCGCCGCCGACCAGCTGGAGGCGCTGTCGGACCTGCTGGACGAGGAGCTCCACCCCTCCACCGCGCTGCAGTCCTTCATCATCCAGGACTGCATGTGGAGCAGCAGCTTCGCCGCAGCCGTCAAGCTGGAGCGGGCCGTGTCCGAGCGGCTGGCGCGCCTCCGGGCCCGGCAGAACACGACCGGCACCAGAGGGCTGGAGGCTGGAGGTTCTGACGAGACCGGGTACCTGCAAGACCTGCAGGGTGTCGCGGCGACGTGCATCAACCCCTCTGAGGTGCTCCCCTTCACTGTGACCGGCCAGAACCAGAACCAGAACAACCAGGACCTGAACCAGAACCAGAACAACCAGGACCTGAACCAGAACCACTTCAATGGAGTGGCGATGGAGGTCGGGTCAGAGTTGAGTCTGGAGACGCCGCCGTTCAGCAGCAGCAGCGAATCAGGTGAGAATCAGGAAACGTTTGGTTCTGATACAGTGGCGACCCCAGAGGGGGGAGCAGGGGGGTCGCGACCCCAGGGGCCCCCGACCCCAGAGGGGGCACCCGGGGGGTCGCGACCCCAGACAATATGAAAAAGGCTTTCAGAGTCACTTTGTTCCTTCAAGACAAACATGTAAATTCAATAACATTACATCGATCAACTTAAAAATAAAATTTCAAAAATCTTTAAAAATATAAACTTTTTACAGAAATATTTCTATAAATTTGGGCCCGTCTGGTCCCCCCATGAACATTTTCTGGAGTTTTTCCTGCTGTTCTGATGAAGTTCTGCTGGTGGAAATTCGCTTCATCCATGTTGGTTCTGTCTCCACAGAGGAGGAAGAGGACGATGGTGAGGAAGAAGAGATTGACGTGGTGACGGTGGACAGACGGAGGACGTCCCATCGGTCCCCTCTGGTCCTGAAACGCGCCCTCGTCAACATCCAGCAGCACAACTACGCCGCCCCGCAGCCTGCTGGGAAACGGCCCAGGCCGACAGAGAGCCCCGCCGTGTCGGCGGCGAGGCCGCGGTGCGGGTCGGCGCTGCTGGAGCCCGCGGTCGGACGACGAGGACGAGGACCGACGCAGGACTCACAACGTGCTGGAGCGGCAGCGGCGCAGCGAGCTGCGGCTCAGCCTGCTGGCGCTGAGGGAGCAGATCCCGGCGCTGGCCGCCAACCACAAGGCGGCCAAGGTGGCCGTCCTGCAGGGGGCGACGGCGTTCATCCGGGAGGCGCGGGCGGACGAGCGCAGGCTGCTGAAGAAGAAGGACGAGCTGACGAAGAGGAGCAGGGAGCTGCAGCGCCGCCTGGAGCGGCTCCAGGCGCCACAGTAACCGCTCAGCAGCGTTTTCATGTTAGAGACAAAATGACTGCAGGACACAAACGGGTTCTACCAGAACTGCCGGGTCAGAACCGCCGGGTCAGAACCTTTATTTATTTACTCTAATTTAACCAAGCTGTGTTTTATTTGTCCTCCTTTTGTTGTGAAATGATTTTATTTTTATATTTTTAGAAATCAAGCATGTCAAAATAAAGCCCTGTTTTGTTTGGACCAGAGGTTCTGTTTTGCTTTGACCCGTTTCCTCGGAACCGGGTCGGATTCACTGGAGGAGAATTTCGGATTCATTCCTGAGGGATGAACTCAGGAATGAATCCGATCCGTTGAGCCGCTTTCCTGGAATTTATTCCTCCGGATGTTCCGGGTCGAACCGCGGTCCAATCAGACGTGTCCTCTGAGGTCCAGTTGGCCCGGTTCCTGTCATTGTGTCATCCAGGACCGTCTGACCTGGAAGCAGAGGCCCGGTCGGTTCTGGTTCTGTTCCCTGTGAAGTCAGAGGAAAAACTGGGTGAAAGTTCAGCTCCGATCCAATTAAAGTCCGGATCCGGGAGACACAGAACCAGGCCGGTCTGGGTCCAAACGCAGAGATAAAGTCCAGGAATGAAACAGTTTCCATCATTCAGGGAGGAATTAACCCTTTAACTGCTTTACTGACAGACCCAGTCCTTTCCTTTCAAAATAAAAGCATCAGCTCTTTTATCTCAGCAGAACCAAAGAGGTCCGGTTTGTTTTTGGCTGCATTTGCTCCTAAATCTGGACTCTGGCAGAACCGCAGGTTCTTCCTTCCTCCTGCCAAAAACAGTAAAACAGGAAGCGGGTTACACACACTGAGTCAGAACCTCGGCCCAGAACCTCGGTCCGGTCCGCTGAGTCACAGTCCGGGTCTCCAGCTGGTTCTGCTGGTCTGGATCCGTCTGCAGTGAGTCACGGCTTTCCTGTTCCTGTCGGATCCTGAATGTCTTCCAGGTTTCTGCTGATCCAGATCCAAACCTCCAGAACCAGAACCAGCTTCTTTACGGAGCCATAAAACAGTTTATTGAAATAAGTTCCAGTCTGTTGGTTAAAATCAGTTTTATTCATAAATCTGGACGGATGGAGCTGAAATTCATCAGGATTCAGGATCAATACAGCGAGGAGGAGGAAGAGGAGGAAGACGAGCAGTTCCTCTTCCTCCTCTTCCTCCTCGGCAGATGAAATGATCTTTGTAAAAACATCATCAGGTTCTGGTTTTATGTGGATCCGACTCTGAAGGTTTCAGTCATTAATTATTGACCAGTTACTGTAAAATCTGATTTCATCACAAGAAAATCCATCTCCACTCGTTTTGGGCTCCTGGTGAACTTTGACCTGAACCTCAGCAGCATGTGACTCCTGACGCTGCCAGAGTCGCTGCTGGTTTCTCAGGAACTCACTTCCTGTTTGGTTTTCCTGATGGATAATCATTGATCCTCCAGTCATGCAGGAAATCTTCACACTGTCCTCAGACTCTGTACTTTAACTACACCAAACTCAGGAGAACTGCTTCAGTCTGTTTGTTACGTCTCATATTTCAAACTGACAGAACTTCCTTCTTCTTCTCTTTGGGTTTTTCCCTTCAGGCGCCGCCGCCGCAGCCAATCATCATTTAGTC